GTTTAAATTGTATGCCAGTTAGTGGGCAACAAAGCGGAGACTTGAAAGGAACACTGCAGATATAGAACTGGAAAAATATTCCAACCTGAACATTTTAAACAAAATAAAGAGGGAAAGGGGCTGAAGGAAAAGCCAGATATTAATTGAAGAAGATGTCACTATCAACTTCAGATCTGGCAAGGCCTCACTGTATATAGACTTTTGATTTTTGGATACTCAGAATTACTCAGTCCTATTTTTGGAATTACACTAAGAAAGTCATGCTGCTTGTCTAAGGTGAGGGTAACCTTAGGTTAGAAAGTGAGGTGACCTGGCAGCTGATTCTGGGGATACTGTATATAGACTTTTGATTTTTGGATACTCAGAATTACTCAGTCCTATTTTCAGAATTACACTAAGAAAGTCATGCTGCTTGTCTAAGGTGAGGGTAACCTTAGGTTAGAAAGTGAGGTGACCTGGCAGCTGATTCTGGGGAGCTCCTAGAAGTGTAGGTATTGGTGAAGGTGACTCCTGCTGGAATGTGGATCTTTTTATTTTTTTGTCCTTTTTGAGACCAGCCGCACAGCGCTCAGCCAGTGAGCGCGCCGGTCATCCCTATATAGGATCCGAACCCCAGGCGGGAGCACTGCTGTGCTCCCAGCGCCGCACTCTCCCCAGCGCACCACGGGCTCGGCCCAGAATGTGGAGCTTCTAACTGTAAAGTAGGTGCTTCTCTTTTCCACATATGGGGTCTCAGATATAGTAGCAAAAGCTAAATGTGAAAAAAACCAAAAAACGAAAAAACTTTTCCACCCCGTGATCAAGAAGCCCTCTCTATTCCAGGAACTTACGAATCTTCCTTTGGACTGGTTTTCCTTTCTCCTGCTGCTGTGCATCGGCATTCTCAGGAAGCCGTTTTACGCCCTGGAAAGGACTACCTTTCAGAGAGAAATGAGGAGGACCGCCCAGCCTGGGTTGCAAGGTCAAGAACTACTTTCCCAGGGAGTGTGTCTCCTGCTGCTCTTACTCTCCCAGTATCTATCTTGGGTCCCTGTGACCAACCACATGACACGTGAGACCTGGCATTTCCCCAGGGCCAAGGTGCCAGCTGGGGTTAATGTGTTTGATTTAGTGGCAATAGACTCCTGGTTTCCTGCTGTATGGAGTTTAACCTAAAGTTACCCCTCAGGAAGGGGCAGGGCGGGTTACTGGGGTATGAGTCAACCATCATAGCTTCTCCTTTTATACTCTTAAAGGTATAGGACATAGTGTGTGAGTCACAGAAATAAGTCCCAGAAGACTGAATCACAGCCAAAAAAAACCCTCCCAGACACAGTCCAATCAGATTCACTTCACTTTTATTATGAACAAACACAATCTCAGATCAGTACAACTAGCTTCAGAGTTGATATTAATAGAAATTATTCCATAATTATTCTTAGGTCACAAATAACTACTATCTCACATAAAAAGGGAAAAATCCCACCCCTTGAAGAAAAGGTATCCTGTGTATATCTCCATGGCAATAACTTTATGCATTCTCAAATTTTGTCTGGCTAGTTATCCACCACTTATCCAATGGATTCATACAGTTTCTCAGAGAGAACCAAATAGACTATGATAGCACCTGGGACACACGGACATATCAAGTTCATGGTGGACACTGCTACTATAAAAATACTCAGGACTTGAGAATTCCTCTGCTGAAGGATCCCAGAATGCTTTATATAAAAGCATTAGTCATGCCTCAAAACTGCCCTTTGAGGTAGGTCAGTATTATTATCCCTATTTTAACAGAAGGAAAACTGAGGCACATTACAGTTAAGTGACTTGCCCAGGATCACATAGTAAGTCAGTAGCACAGTGGTAGGAGAGGCCCTGGCCTTAACCACCAGTGAACATTGCCACCTTGCTTTCTTAACCTTCCATGTTGACTTATTTGAGCTACACTTACAGAGAATATTTAGGATACTAGCAAACTAAGGAGAAAATATTTCATTTAAAATGCTACAACCATCTTTTAATCTAAAAAATAAGATAAATCAAATACATTCAAATTACTTTCACCCTCCATCAAATGTGGGCACTTAATAAAAATAAAAATAGCCCTAAGAAAACTTGCCGAAATGAAGCCCAGAAGGGAATCCTGCAAATCACTGTACTGATCATTCTCCAGCCAGTCTCCTTTTTTACCAGCCACTCGTGTAGGCTCTCAGGTGCAAAAGGACTCCACAAAGGGAGTGAGGGCAGGCTCATATGCAACACCGATTAGAAAAGATGTAAGGCACCCAAGTAAGTTGTCAGCACACCCACAAAGGACTGTTAGAAATTAAGACTTGAGCAGATCTGAGTTTTTCATTAATGTGTCACTTGAACTGAGCTTTAGAATCTTGAAAAGTATTCTTTACTCAGCAGACACACTCTACCTACACACCCGCATACACACTGGGGACCTCGGCCTGAGGTGTCCGTCCAACCTTGTGTAGGGTCATGGTATGGATCAGATCTATGGAACACGATTACAATAGAAAGAAGAGAAAGCTGTTTTTATTGTTCATATATTATAAAGCAGGCATCTGATTACCTGTGAAATTAAAACTACCCAACAGACATTTTTCCAAGGGGTAGGCACACAGGTCAGTAGATCTAAACTACAGTGATCTTCCATTAGATTTCCTACTGAAATGAACAGCTGAAAAGACAAGGGTGTCTTTAGTCCAGGCTAACCCCTGTAGCCTCTATTCAGTTAACACAGGAAGAAGGGCCCTCCTCCCTTCCACCACTGGGGTTCAACAGTGGACAGAGCATTTGGTATTGTACATTTCCAATCTTAATAGAGCAAAGCCAGGCTTCTGCATTGATGACTGAGGTACAGGGACAGCAGTGGTCCAAGGTTCTCAAAACACTGATGTGTTTTTTTTCCCCAGATTTCTTCTATACTATTGTCTGCTCTAGGCTGTGTTATAGGGAATGCTGGTTAGTTTGCTGAACAGACTCTGTGTAGCAAAGTTCATGACATCTCAGGTCCAGGTCTCATCCTAGGGTGTGCAGTAGACCCTGGCTCCAGGGTATGGGGCCTCCTTTCGAAGTGAGGCACTTGGGAACTCGCCCTTGCTCCTTGTGCTTCCCAGTGAGGACTAGGCTTACTTCTACAAGCATTGCACCATCAGCTGGGAGCACTGACTCGGGTGGGCCAGCCTTACTGAGCAAGCAGGGGACATTCAGCATGTTCTCTGATTCTGACCCAGACAGGTGACTGAAAACAAACCCTCCTTTGCTCCATGGCTGGCTCACTGGCACAATGTGAATATTTGGCTTGGCTGTGCCTCATGAGAGAGTAAGCCTCTTGGAGTCAGGGATGTTTCTAGGAGGGTTTGCCAGCCTTGTCTTGAGCCATCAGTGTGGGATGGCAGCAGAGGGGTATAGGTGGAGACACTCTGGAAGCCACGTGAAAGTAGCAGCTAGCTCTATGTTCTAAGAAGCAGTGGTTCAGTGACCCTGAGCATTCTGTCTGCAGGAGAGAGCTGCGTGGACAGCAAGTCATCACTGCCTCCGATTATGCACAAAGGAGGTTGCCTGTCCAGAGAAGGAAGAGAACATCAGGGAGGAGACAAAACCAGTAGAAGAAAAGGGACAGATCGGGTAAAGCCAGGAATCAGACATCAGGGTAATTAAGAGATTCCTACCTCTCCCCCCCAGGCAGTCTTATACTTTAAGTTAGATGTTTACAGAGCAAGGAAGTAATGATGGAGCCCAACATTGTGGGGGGAGCCTTCTAGTTTTTACTAATTCCAAGGAGAAATTGGAACTAATGGATGGACCTAACATCTAACTTCTTTTATTAGGACACCCAACAACTTACTCAATAACCTTCCAAATCCCCTGGCAACATATTCTCAGAGCCCTTCTTTTGTAAAGTTATCTCTTAGGAGCTGCCTACAGACCCCGCCCCTCAACATCTCCATCTCCTGTTGGGGGCCGGGGTGGGGGGGATAGATAACCCAGCTAATTCCTCCTCTCTTTTAGTTTCTTCAAACATCCTTCTTTCAGAGGAACAGACTCTAAATATCTAAGGTTCCAAGCAAAGTATATATGTATTTATATTTTTATGTTTGACCCAACTCCACCTCCTAAAATCCTTCCTTTCCCATCTTATTACTATGAGGGGAGAGTGACCAATACTCTGAAGATGGCAGAGCAGAAAGATTTAAGAATTGTGATGGGCAACTCATGGAATCCTCAAAATTCGATGAGCTGCTATATTTACCAGTTATGGAGACACCCAACTACAAGACTTTTTGTCCTATGAAATAAGAAACCTCTTTATTATTAAAGAAGAAAAATCCTTTGCCAGCAGTGGCCACTTTTACTACAAACTAAAAGCTTTATCATCAGCCCAAACTATATTGAGACGTTGAGATTTGCTTTTGTTCTAGCATTGCCAAGTTCCATGGCTGTTCCCTACCCAGTGTCAGGAGAGAAAGGAAGCATGCTATGGGATGAAGCTCCAAATCCTCACTAGGTAGCTGTACATCTGATCCTGGCAAGAGTTTTCTCTTGCCTTATTTCCCGCCTTGACCCCATCTCCTTACTTACCAGTCAGACCGTACATGCTACCTCTCTCCCCTGACTATTCACCTGCATTTGAAGCTTTGTGCCAATAAAGTTATCTTTCCATTCCATCTAGCAAAAGCCTGAGCTGAAGATAATTAACAGGGGACTTCCCAGAAGATTTTGCTGTATCTCTAGCTTGAGCCACCTACCTTGAAGCTCAGGACAGCTCAAGGTGAGTGAGTTATCTGGGGCAAAGACCAATGGTTTTAGACTACAGAAAGGTTGTCTAGGCTTTGGAAGCTGGACACCCACCAATAACTGACCAGTGGTTTTGCCTGGGAGACAATGAGGGAAAAAAGAAAGCAAGGTGAAAAGAACAAAGCAAAGAGAAAGACAATGGGACTAGAACAGAAAGAATGTAAGAGAAGAAATAAGTATATCAGCTTAGCATCATAAAGGCAGAGTTGTTGGCTTTCAATACTTTTGCATTTTAAAAGAATACTGTACTGGAATGGGTTAACATCATCATCTTTAGCGTTCTGGTAGCATTATTCAGTAGTTAATAAACAGAACATTAGAACTCTGCCCAGCTGGCTTTTGAAAAAGGAACCTGAGGGACCCCAAACTCAGCCACTCTTGTAGCTTCCATCTCCAGTTCTTTTAATCCTGGCCAAGATGGCAGCCTTGGATACTCTCTTCCGGTCGTAAGCCAGACCGAGGGCAGCCATGCAATCGATGAAGAATGTGGTGAAGTTGATGTGCCAGCGGTACTCACTGGCAGAGTAGTCATAGGGAAAGGAGTGATGGTAGTTGTGGAAGCCCTCACCTGGAACAAAAGAAAGCAGAGGAGTTATGGAGCTACCGTGGATTGCTGTCTTCCTGATCTTTGTACACTGGTTATCTAGCAGGATACCTTGGACCTGGGAGAAACTTGCTCATGTTGAACAAAGATGAATCCAGTCTCTTCCACTCTGAACCAAATAGATCCCCTCAGAGGCCATTCAAGAAACAATTCGAGAGACCGTGGTCACCCAGGGCTGTCTGGGAGCCTTTGTGAGAGGAGGACTGGAAGTTTCTCTCAGAGGTCAAGATGACTAGAGAAAAGCTGCTACTGCTAGGAATGGACTGTAGATTAAAAAATTCCTGAGGCCGGCCCGGTGGTGCACTCGGTAGAGTGCGGCGCGTGGGAGCGGGGCGGTGCTCCTGCCGAGGGTTCGGATCCCATATAGAGACCCGTCCGCTCACTGGTTGAGCGCAGTGCGGGTGCGACACCGAGGGTTGCGATCCCGTTGCCGGTTGCGGTATGGGCACAACACCGAGGGTTGCGATCCCGTTACCGGTCACGAAAAAAGACAAAAAGGAAAAAAAAAAAAAAAAAAAAAATTCCAGAGCTTGGGACACCCGGTGGCTCACTTGGGAGAGTGCAGCGCTGGGAGCGCAGCGGTGCTCCCGCCGCGGGTTTGGATCCTTATATAGGGATGGCTATGTAAGGATGGCCCGTGCACTCACTGGCTGAGCGTGGTGCGGGCAACACCAAGCCAAGGGTTGCGATCCCCTTACTGGTCACGAAAAAAAAAAAAAAGAAAATTCCAGAACTTCACTAAATATTGGCTTGAGACCCTAAAGGCTCTGTGCTATGTGCATGTGTTCAGGTGGGAAGGAGAGTCCATAATTAAGAACTTTGACAGTGAGTAAAGGAGTAAAGGAGCACCCTACTGGTACTACTTCTAAGGCTGGGAGGTTTTTAACAGAAAGGGTGGCAGTGGCCAAAAGTCAGAAGAAAGGAGGCCCAGCCCAGCGGCTAGAGTTTCCTTGGCTAATGCTGGGTCAGGGTGGGTTGCTCTGCCTTCCAATTCTTTGGGCTTTGACCCCGGTATGGGAGTGGTGCTGATAAAACAGAAGCTCTCTGAGGGAAGAAGAATCAAAATGCTTAGATATTCCCTCTAACTTCCAAGATTCTGAGAACTCTTGGGACGAGTGTTTCACTTTGCTGGATAGAGGAAATTCTGGATTCAGAACAAGTTCTGTAATGAGTAAAGCTTTGGAAACACAGGTAGTTTGCCAACTGTTGGCAGGACTCTTCTTTCTGAACTGCATCCAACAATAGCGATACTGACCCTTATCGGGCTGGGGTAAAGTCAGGGTAAAGAATAGCTAATAAAAGAGCTTGTTGGGCCCTTTGTAGCTAAAAATACCCCCATATACATACAGTAGTAATGATATTAACAACAAGCAAGTGAAGGAAGTCCTGCAGAGCACATGACACCATCTGGGGCATCTCAAGGTATGTGCTCCCTCTGTGACACCTGTTTATCCACAGTGTCAACTGAGCAGGGGGGTGGGATACTGCCAAGGCTAAAGGGACGGACAAGATTACTAATTTCTTAAACGGTTTTTCAGCTAGACTCTGTGTAAGCACTAACCAGGCCAAAGTTATCAGAGTTCAAACTGAATCAGACACACACACACACTGACAAGGGAGGAAATACAAAGGAGAGCCAATAGGTGGAAGGACAAGACTTTGCAAATGGGACAGTAAGAGACAGCCTAAGAAAGGCTCAAGGAGGAAAGCCAGCTTTGGCAGAGAGAAGATGAGCATGTGATTGTGGGGAGGTAATTCAAGAAACAAAAAGATTAGAATGGCAGAAACAGAGCTGGAGGAGAATAAAGGGTGAGGTGCCACGGAAGGAACGCAGCAGTGCAGAGAAGCGAGTGATCACTTTGACAAAGCACGATATTGACAGCCACTTTGAACTGATGGTCATGAACATGCTGGAACTGAGGGAGTTCACTACAGATCCATTTGCAATACAGGACACATCTCATTCCAGAAAATTCCATTTCTATGAAAATCTCAGATTTATACAGTATGGGTGATTTATGTCAATCCTGGGTCAGAGTAAGAACATGCACAATGGCTGAAAGTTAAAAAGAGACAGGAAAAAATGTTTTTAATAAAGATAGGGAAGATGGTCAGTGTTGAGAATATAAAGGAAGATTTTAAAGAGAAACAAAATGAGTGTGTTAGGCAATCAGTGTGTATAAATGTGTGGAGCAGAGCGGCTGCCTTGGTATTACTGGACGACCAACAGCACTGATCACCGGTAAGGAGAGGCCACAGGATCTGCTGAAGGAAAATAACTTGAGGCTTTGGTCAAAGTCTATATTCAGTTGGAAAGAAGGACAGGAAAAAAAAAGAAGACAGATGGTAGAACCCTGTTGTCTTAGACTCTGGCAATTGAGATTAGAATTTAGAGAAATAAATTCAGGAATAGTCAACATTCGCGGGGACTTGTGATCAAACTGTTTATTCCCTAAGCCACGTGGGGGAAATAGAAGTAGAAGAAACAAAAAGACAAGAGGAGACAAGGTGGTAGGTGGTAGCAAAGGGCTGCCAACAGTTGCTTGGATGTTTGAGTACAGCAGGGAGATAAAAAAATACTTTAAGAGTGGCACACTCGGGGCCAACCCCGTGGCTCACTCGGGAGAGTGTGGCGCTGGGAGTGCAGCAGCGCTCCTGCTGCGGGTTCGGATCCTATATAGGGATGGCTGGTGCGCTCACTGGCTGAGCGCGGTGCGGGCGACACCAGGCCAAGGGTTGCAATCCCCTTACCGGTCACAAAAAAGGAAAAAAAAAAAAAAAAAAGCCCAAGAGTGGCACACTTGAAGCTTATTGAACTAAATCGTAATTAGTTATTGTACACTTTATACGGCATGTTTATCAGCACCACACTCTCCCGAGTGAGCCATGGGCCGGCCCTATATGGCATGTTTAAATATAAAACGCTAGGCTCACTGGCCACTCAGATGACTCTATTGTTCTATTTATGCATTCCCTGCCCCAAGCAAGACTGCAGCCCGGCCTAGAGGTGAGTGAAAAAGGAAAACTCAAAGGTGCTCATTATACACAGCATTAGGAGATTGTTTTGGAACTTGGAATCAAAGGCAGTATTACTTTTTACCCTTTCCTTTTTACATAAAATTTGTTGCCTGAATCTCATGAGTGTTTTCCAATATATCGCTCCCTAGTTTTAGAGTGGAAAAACTTAGATACACAGTGGTCATAAAAACAGGTTAATCTGGTTTTTCTGGCTCCTAGCCTGATACCCTAAATCAGCAGACCACTAGATGTGGTCTTGCTGTGGACTGCTGACTTACCCACAGCTCCCAGTGAAACCAGGATATTCTCTCGGGGGCTAATGTTCTTGTCATAAGGGCGATATCCGTAGAGGTGGGCGGCACTGTTTACCAACCAGGTGGCATTGAGCACTATGGCGTAACGCAGGAAAGTGGCAACACACAAGCTGTTTTGAAAAGTTTCACCCCACAGACACCAGGGCACAAGTGTGGGCAGGATGAAGCAGAGCAGCAGGATACCTGATTTGTAGTACCTACATGGAGAGATCATGCACTGAGTCAGTGGCCTTGCCTGGATTTTCCACTCTCACTAGGTTGAGCTCTTTCCTCCTACATTACGAGTATAGTGCAGCAGAAAACAGCAAGAGGGAATGGGATTATTTTTAGATGAGGTAATGAGGAGGAATTAAATAACTTTTCTAGGATCCTACCACTAGGAACCAGTGGAGCAAGGACGGAGTGCTTGTCTCCTGAGTACATTGTTCTTTTTTACTGGAACATCATGCCATGCTGGTAAAATAGGTGAGGTCCAAATTACAAACTAGAAAACGGAGATCTCCTTCCCAGATTGTCCTTCCTTTCTCCCTTTGGGCTCCTTCCCAAAGTATGGACTCATCAGTGCTCTTTTGCACAGAGTCTGTGTTTATTTGTCATGCTACTATTTCCTGCTAGCAACCCTCTAATTCTTTGCTCTTCTTTTCCCTTAGAGAGGCACACTGAGTGCCCTTGATCACCTGCAGGTCTCTGTCCCTCTGGAGGCCCTGTCCCATCTTCATTCTCAATGTAAACCAGGCTATTGAATTCCAAGGAAATCAGTTCCCTACATCCCATCCCTTCAACAGTCAAGTCTTCGACTTTTGTATCATACTATTCCTGCATCCAATTCCTTTCCATTCCTGCCACTGCTTCCCCAGCATGGATCCTTGCTACCTCTTAACATGTGTCCCCGCCTCTCATCCCTATGTTTCAATTGTTTCTTTCACCTGTCCTAAGAACAGCCTTCCTAAAGGACATCTGTGACTATGCCACATTGCTGCTCAAACAACTATTAATGGTTTCCTATTGCTTACTGAATTAAACCCTAAGTCTGCTTTTAGGACTCCCTACACCCAAAACTTCAAGCAAAAGGACTGCTGCTAGAATGTGCTTAATGCTTTAGCTCATTCTGTTCTTTCTCTTCATACTGTCCCTCCCCACACATACTTGTGAAAATCTCTATCCATTGGTGGATTTCAGTGGGCTTTCTTCATAAACCCTTCCCTGATGTTCTCCACTAATCAATCTTCCTCTCCTTTGTATCTCTTATGGTACAGAAAATATTACACCTTGTATCATGTTTTTTTGGGTACAACCTTATTCCTTCAACCCTCCTACAAACTCCTTGAAGGTAAGAACTAGGCTATGTTCATTTTTGTATCCACAGCTGTCATAGGTCAATAAACATTTGTTGAGTTTAATTGGTTTAATTAAGATAGCTCAGAGAAAAAGAAACAGCACACTAATCTATAGCTGTGGTCCTGTGGGATGTTAAAAATTGGGGTTTTAAATAATGATTCTGAACACACAAACCCAGTAAATTTGTCAGCCATATCCCCAGTTCCAGCACCACTACACTCACCTCCTCTGGAACATCACCAGTTTCTCAGATTTTAGGTCAGACAAGTCTAGCAAACCGCCTTTCTCTTTGACAGCTGGATGTTTGCGCACAAGCAGCCAGCCCACATGAGAGAAGAAAAAGCCACGTCGGGAATTATGAGGATCAGCATGTGTTTCTGAAAACTTGTGGTGGGCACGATGATCTCGGGCCCATTCAAAAACATCATTCTGGAGGGACAGAGAAGAGGAATGTAAGTATGAGCAGACACCCTCTGAGGAGGATTTCAATGGACAGATATCGTTGAGAGCCCACAGCTCTCAGACCAACTTCACAAAGTACGCGGGAGTCTGAGCTCCCAAGAAGTCATGGAATTGCCTCCTCTCTTCTCCCAACTTGCCACTGAAACTCAAGTGGAAAAGCAATGTAAGGTCCCAGGCTCACATGAATAGGACTGCTACTTCTGGAAGGTTATTTGGTAGGGAGAATGGAGGTTAAATCATATAGAGCTCAGATGGTTTCATTAGGAAAGAACACAACAGTTCTTCAGACAAGGAATGTTGGAAAAGGTCCTCATGGGATGCCTGGGCAGCCCTATGTCCTAGGGTCCTGGTCAGTGGATAAAGCTGCAGGGAGTTCCATCCTGATGCCTTGGCAAGAGACAGCTCACACAACCCAATGACAAAGCCAAGTATGTACCCCATGATCATGAACCACATTTCCAAATGACCTCTGAGCTTCTCTGGGACTCTTTTTTTTTTGCTGGCCAGTATAGGGATTTAACCCCGGACCTTGGTGTTAGCACTACACCCTAACCAACTATACTAACTGGCCAGTTTTCTGAGACTCTTTCCATCTCTTAAAGAATGTGCCAATATCTCTTCCTTTCCTTTGCCCCACAGGACATCAGGAGCCTTCAAGGTCTAAGTTGATATGACAGAGATGATTATGCAAATGTGGTAAGTACCCAGGATACTGTCGAGACTAATTTAGTTTTCTTTTTGCCTCTTGCTCTAAGCTAAACCCCACACCACATGCTATCCGTTGCCCATCGCTACAGCTTAATAGCTGTGAGAATTCCCTTTCACCAATCCCTTTCATTCTATATCTGCTGTAACTTTTTGCCTCAACAAACCTCAATACTTGACTTAGCTAGCTTGGTAGCCCAAGATAGGACCAAAATATTGGGTTGGTCTATCTAACCTTTCAGTGACTCAGTTTCCTCATCTGTAAAATGGGGATAATAATAGTGTACCTACTTCCTAAGACTGTTGTGAGGATTTAATGAGTTAATCTTAGTCAAGTGCATAGATTAGTGCCAGGCATAGTCAGCGCTGTTTGCTCTTATTATCTAAAAACATGGAGTTCATGAGTCTATGAAGCATCAACTTCAATCCCATTGTGGTGGGGTCCTAATATATTCACCTTAAATAGTGAATTTATTGTCCAGTGTCTGCCCAGGAAACCGGGGTCAGTCCCTGGCTTACATGCCACAGCCCCTTCTGATGGATTGCAGCAGCCAAACCATGTGATAACACGGGGACCTTAGGGTCAAGAATAATCCTATACATGAAGAATATTTCCTATCTATCTCCTATTTCTCTTTTCCAGTGACTCAGAAGCATCTTCATGCTTTACGGGCCTAACGGCTAAGCCTACCCTTGAGGTGACCACAGAAGAGAGGAAAGTGAAATGGCTGTCCAGGTGTGGCTCCTCTCTGGGTGCTGACTCCTCCATTCTTCCCCAGTATCATTGATAGGGTGGAGAAAAAAAAAAGCCAGCTTCTTACCTGGAATGCCATTGTGTTGGCAATGATCAGGAAGACCCGCAGGGGCAGCCGAGCTTTGTAAGTTCGATGGCTCCACAGGCGATGAGCTCCTGCTGTTATGCCCAGGGCACTGATAAAATAGTAGACTACTCCTGCCAGGATAAGACAGTGGGCAGTCACCAACCCAGGTCTCCTTTAGGTTTTGTGAGGATCTGCTTTACCCTGAACTCTAAGAATACCTTGGTCTCTTAGGCCTCTTAGGTTTTACCACTTGAAAAATACTATCACTTCCCAGCCTGTCAACCTAGGAATTGAGATAAGCTAAGGAATCTCACAAACTAAGGAGTCAGAAAGGCAGGTGAGAGACTAGGGCACTCACCAATCAGCCACTGTCATTCTCATTCTGCAGGGGCATTATCCCAGGTCCTATCTCTTTTGACCTTCAGCTAACCTCTTCTAAGATTTTAAGAGCCACAGACTACTCCGAAAGAGCTTAGGACCCATAAGGAAGGGTGTTATTAAAATAACAGCCAGGGGGCTGGCCGGTTAGCTTAGTTGGTTAGAGTGATGTGTTATAACACCAAAGTCAAGGGTTCAGATCCCAGTACCAGTCAGCTGCAATAAAATAAAAGAAAATGAAACAGAATAACAGCCAGTACAATCTGGGCACTGACCAATACGAGGAGCCCTGAGGTGAAGGGTACACTCAAGGGACTTACAACTATGGCTATTTACCAATTGGTATAAAAGCAGTACCAGTCAGCTGCAATAAAATAAAAGAAAATGAAACAGAATAACAGCCAGTACAATCTGGGCACTGACCAATACGAGGAGCCTTGAGGTGAAGGGTACACTCAAGGGACTTACAACTATGGCTATTTACCAATTGGTATAAAAGCATTTCCATGTTTTAGCAGGCAGTGTGGCCATTTCAGGGAAAAAAAATCAGTCCTGCATGAAAGTCATATTTATAACGTCTTAAGTTTTATCAAGGATTTTAATATTCTCTAATTCACTGGATACCTTGTATGGGATAGGTGGTATTAATATCCTCACTTTGCAGCTGAAGAAATAGATGTTTATCCAAGTGTTTATCCAAGGTCACATGGCTAGGAAAAAATGGAGCCATGGTTTGAAACTAGGTTTTCTGTTAACATGAAGCTCATGTTCCGGCTATGCCATCTACCTCTCCAAGATGTGTGCACAGTTCCTGTGTCTCCTTTGCCATTTCTCTGTAATGGCAGGATATGCTCAAAGTTGTCATGAAGCACCCATCATCATCTTGCCTCCCATCCTGGAGGCCCAGAGGCTCAGGAGGTACCAGTTATAATCTCTAAGGGGAAGGAGGTTGCTGGGTGTACCCATTTCTTCCTCTGTTCAGTAGCTCTAGGAGGCAGGGACTGAGGCCTTGGTAGAAACTGTTGTTAACAATGTCTCATTCCTAGGGAAACAGCTAGAAACAATGGATCCTCAGTGGGCACAGAACCTCGTTGCAGTTGGGGACACCACACATTGTAACAAATTGTCCTGTGTTCTTCTGCAGCCATAGACAGTTTCCTAAACAGCCTCCTCCTCCACCCCATCCTGTGCCTCCTACAAGATCCCCAGGAGAGCCATAGATCCACAGTCTGTCCCAGTGAAAGTTCCATCTACATTCCCTCTGGCTGGGATTAAGGCTACAGGTGACCAGCGGATCTCAAGCCATGTGGTGACTGATATCTTCCCAGAAACAGTATCTGACTGCATCTGTCCCTGGGAAAACCACAGGTGAGCTAGAGCCCTCCAGTCACCAAGGGAGAAGAAAAATAGCTTTTGGCATGAAAGCAGAAGCACTCAGTTCAGAACCAAGGAAGCTTCTAGGGTTGTTTCCTGCCGCAGAAGATCCTGGCAAGTTGACTTAGAAAGCATATAATATCCTGTATTAACATGGGAATTGTGAAAAGAGCCCAGGCACTCTGGTGCGTTTTCTATCCACACCTCTAAGTCTATCAAATAGAAATGTTTAAGTCAGTTGGAAATTCATTATCTCTTCCCCAGGGCAAGGATTGTTAATGTCCAAATTGAAGGTTAAACAACATCTCATAGTTCTGGCCCTAAGAAAAGAGACTTGGGTTTTGGCCTTTGGCCCTCAGTGTTGCCAGAGAAATCTATTCAGCCATACCCTGAGGGCTGTTCTGAGAGGCTCCAATATGAGATACAAGGCTCCCAAAATTGCTGGGAATCAAGAGAAATGCTGCAATCACAACCAGTTGCTAATTTAACATTGTTCTTAGGGATCAAACAAGAAAAGCTCCTAAACACTGAGGGTGGGAAGAGAAGGTTCCCAAGCTGAGTCCTCTGATCCCCCCTCCCCATCCTCCTTGTTCCTTAAGACAAGAGGAGTTCTGACATCCTCATTATCAGGATGATCACTCTGTCTGTTAAGCAGCCCACCAAAGGGCCTGGGACAAGAGTAAGATTAGTCACCATCCAGTCTCTGTGTGCCAGGTTTCTGTCCAAAGGCACAGAACACACCCATGGGCAGGGCACCCAAAAGGTAGCGGGCACAGCCTTGGCTTTGGGATAGCATTCTGCTCCCTGCACTAGCAGCTGAGGTTGGCCAAGCAGGGGCAGTCTGGTCAAACTCTGGCCTACAGGGAATGCTGAGGCTGGAAGGGCCTTGCAGGCAACAAAACTACTGCAACTGGAGTTCTGCTGGATTCTCAGAGGGACTAGAGAACAGATGTCTCCCTCCCCTCACAAATATAACAGCACTTCCATGCCTGTCCTGCTCACTATGTCTCTGCTGCAGCTATGACACACGTAACCAAAGGAATACTACACTCCCAATCCTAAAAAATGGGCCGGCCCGTGGCTCACTCGGGAGAGTGCGGTGCTGATAACACCAAGGCCCCGGGTTCGGATCCTATATAGGGATGGCCGGTTTGCTCACTGGCTGAGCGTGGTGCTGACAACACCAAGTCAAGGGTTAAGATCCCCTTACCGGTCATCTTTTAAAAAAAAAAAAAAAAAAAAATGACTGTGGCCCCCAGTTGGTACTGGGAAAAACTGAGATCTTAAGAAAGGGGATATTCTCAGTTGCATTTCCCTGTGGCACCCAGAGGATTGCCAAAGACAAAGCTTGAGGGAATAGATCTCACCATATCTAGAAGCTCTAGGAGGTCCCCAGTGAGGAAACAGCTAATACATGGTCTACCAGCCCTTCCACATAGCTACCCTCCAAGAGTGCGCTGTCAGAAAGTACCCCACTCCTGAGACTGCCCTGGAAAACCTCAAGTTGTTTTCTGGAGAGGGAGTCTTCACTCACCACCCCTCAGAAGGGCCCAGGATCTATACAGCTCCCTGCTCTCCCTTCCCAAATCATGCTTATGGGGACAGAGATGAAAATGCCTGCAGAGCGCATGTGTATATCCAGGGGGCAGGGCCCTGCTATCAGCCCGCACCATGGATCCCTGAAAGAGCTGAGCTAAGGGCAGGTCAGGGACAAACTGGGAACCGTTTCCATCATTACAGCAGCCTCAAGGCTGGGGATGCTCAGGGCTGTCCTTTCTGGCCTAGCCTGGCTGTCCCTGGCATCAGGAGAGAGGGGCTGGAGCAGGCTGGGTGGGGAATGGAACGTGAAACATTCCTTCAACCTTATTTCATTCTGAGAACATTTTGTTGACAGGCATGTGCAGCACCCTGGAGACCTACATGGAGTAATACAGCAATACCTGGTGTAACCTGGGTCATACAGGAGCTTTCTTCACCTTTCTCTAACAAAGAAGCCTGGTCTGGCCATGGGGTCAGGTCAAAATTATTTTGTGGATAACTACATGTGTCCCTCCCTTTTCAATTAACTCTTCCTCAGAGGTTTCTCCTTGCTTTATCCCATGACATTGGGCAACATATACCCTAGAAAGCTACTGGTCTGGTACCATGTTCCCATGACTGCCAGGTAGGGGCCTTGATTCTTGTGGCAGTCAGGGCTGGAACAGACAGCCAAGCAAAAGATTCCAACAAAAAAGTTCTTTTGGGGAAAGCTGACTCTCTGGCAGAGGTCTAGACTTCAAAGCCCGCAGCACATGGTCTGAAGGCTCCCTCCCAACACCCACATTAGAAGGGACCACCGGAATTGACACTCCCCCCCCCCCCCAAGGCAACATATACCCTAGAAAGCTACTGGTCTGGTACCATGTTCCCATGACTGCCAGGTAGGGGCCTTGATTCTTGTGGCAGTCAGGGCTGGAACAGACAGCCAAGCAAAAGATTCCAACAAAAAAGTTCTTTTGGGGAAAGCTGACTCTCTGGCAGAGGTCTAGACTTCAAAGCCCGCAGCACATGGTCTGAAGGCTCCCTCCCAACACCCACATTAGAAGGGACCACCGGAATTGACCCCCCCCCCCCCCCAATGCCCCTAAGCTCCATTCCCAGCCCAGTCAGCCTCTCAGGCAACCAAAGGGAAATGGCTGGGAAACTGGGCTGGGAAGGAAGGGCTGGTGCTATTTAAGATCCTGCCTTATTAAAAGAGCAGTGAGAAACCTGGGGTACTGGGTCAGGAGGACAAGGGAACCTGCTTACCCCAGAGCCAGGTGTAAAACTTGCATGTGGGAACCAACACAATCCCATACAGGGCTCCCAAGTGTAGTAGAGACATGAGGATGATGTTTCTCCAGACATATTCAAGCTTGGGCTTTGGGCCCTCCTTATCCTGGTAGCTTGGGTCATGTATATCATCTTTGATTTCAGGGCGGATGTCTTCTTCCAAGTAGAGGGGAGTCTTCTCCATCTTGCCTCCTCCATTCTGCAGGACCCTGGAGGGAGGCGCTATGATGGTGGTGGTGGTGGTGGTGGTGTAGGAGCTGGACATCTGGAGGGGAGAAGTGGAGTCAGGAGAGAGGAGACACGTGGAGGCAGCAGGGACCGCTTCCCTCTAATCAAGCTGGGAGAAGAGTGGAGTACAGGCACAGAGCCTGCCCCAATACCCAGGTTAACTGGGGGGTAGGGTGTGCCCGGAGTTGGAAGAGGATGAAGTTCCCAGAAGCTGTGCAGATAGATTGGGGGCGGGGTGGGGGGAACCTCAGGGCTGAAGGAGCAGTGGAAAGGAGAGATGAAACACTCGCACCACCACGAACACACAAAGGAAAACCCACATACATACATAAAGGTGCCGGCACGACCGGATTTGTTTACTTTAAGCTTAAGAAACAAAAGTTGGGGAATCAAGTCTCCTAACTAAAATCTACATTCCCCACCGACTGTAGGCAGTACAACTCGAAAAAAACGGCCAGGTCCTCCCCGGAGCCCTCAATCCTCTCCCCCACCGACGAGTCACCTAGAACCCGACCGCGCCGGCGGCGACCCCGAGGTGTGGGGGCCATTGCTTGGAAGCTCACCTCCTCTTGCAGTAAGTGGGCCGGCATCTTGACGCTCGGACGCAGGGATCACTTTCCCAGGGCTGGGACCGGGGAGCGGAGTTGGGAGCGCCGGCTCAGAAGGTGGACTTCTGTTCCGGAGCCCGCCTGTGCGCGGCGAGACCCGGCGCTGCGCTCGGAGCCCTGCTCTGCGCCTCGCACTCCGGATGGGCGTCGGGGCCGACCTGCGATGCGAGGATCTCCCCGCGCTGGGGATTTAAAGGCTGGAGCTGGCAGTGGGTGACGGTGTCCCGTATTTCCTCAGACCCCTTTTATCCGCTGCCAATAAGGGGCAAAGTGCGCCGAGTTGACCGGCCCGGGCAGCCCCGCGTGGAGGTGAGGGTGGGAGAGGGGAGGAGACAGGGAGCCCAGGCGTGCAGCGACCAGAGCCCGGGCGCCGGGATGCTGCAGACTCCAGCACCGCGCCGCCCCTGCCCCCGGGGAAATGCTAATGAGGCTTCTGTAAACTCTGGAGCGTCATTGGCCAAAGGGAATTTGGTGCCACCTCGTCCCGCTGTCGCCATTGGCTCGGCGCAATCTGCTGTTCCCTCTGCCGCGAGCTCCTAGCTCCCCCTCCCCTCTTTCTCCTTCTCGGCTTCTCTTCCCCCGGCCGCTAGGCCTCTGCCCGCACCCCGCGGCGTCGGAAGCGCTCAGGAGCTTTCTCTACGGGAGCGGGAGAGGACCTGGTCCAGGGGTGGGGGTGGGGACGAGCCCGGGACGGGCCCCGGGCACGCCGCGCACGGCTGGGCATTGGGGAAGTTTCACCGGAGACGGTGGGGAAGCACAGTGGCGCCCACCACTCACAACTCCATCCTGTGTGCCCGTGCCCCCAGGAGCGTGGGAGGCGAGACGTGCCCCCCACCCCCGGTCCTGGGTCGGGAGCCGCGCGGGAGCGTGAGATCCCGCTTCCCTCCCGAGCAAGTGCCGGGGGCTCGGTCCGCGGGCGAACAATGGCCCTGCCCCGCCCCCCAGCTACGCGTGCTAAGCAGAGATCGCGCCGAACTCGGGCCGGATCTCCAGACGCGCACACGGACGCACGTGTCCATGTGCCTGCACGCGCGCTCCGCGCTCTGTCACCTGGGCCGCTCGGCAGTCCCATCCCATGCCCAGCCTCCAAACGAGTGCGGAACGTTTTGGAGATTGTTCAGATTATCAAGTTGCAATTTTGGGATCTTCTTCGTGGATAAAGGCAGGAAGCACAGACATGTGTTTTCACCCAGCAGCAGGCGAAAGGACTTGTATGTGGAATGACAATAGGTAGCAGGCGTTGAATTATTACTGCAAGCCAATTCCGAAGAATCATTTTACTTAATCCTCATTGTGACCCTAGGAAGTGGGTACTGCATTATTCCTGGGTACTCCATTATTCCATTTCTAAGATGAGGAACGTGATCTATGGAGAGATCGAATAACTTGCCTATGGTCACCGCAGCCAGTAAGTGGTGAGGCTAGGAGTTGAGCCCAGAAACGTGGTGCAAGAGCCTAAGTTCTCAATCCCCACTCAGAACCACATTGCCCTAGTTCTCTGAGATGCTCTGACCTCACCAACCTGCACTCTTTTCCACATTTTCTCTGGGCTTATGGGAGCCTTTCCATGAGAGCTGGGAACCTGGCTGACCATGCATCCGCCCAGGCTCCTTCCATGCCCCTGTCTCCTCAAATGCTGCCCCAGGGTCCTTCCTCTGGGAAGAGGAGAAAATAAGGAGTTCTGTGCCAGCGAGTGGCTTCTCAGGAAGAGAGGCACCTGAGATTGCCTGGGAGGACTGAGCAGCTCCCTGTTGGGCACTGGCCTCAGGGTCAGGCCAACTCCCTGGCCAGTGACCAAGTGCTTCCATTCCAGTCCTGGTACCCTGCCCAGTGCAAAAGTTCTAAATGAGACTAGATGTTTTCAGATATGGACAGCTCCTATAGTCATGGTTCAGAAGTTCTCAATGTGTGGAATAGATATCCATACACATGCTGCTCCTCTTCAGGTTCTCTCTGTAATGTCTGGTTTGCTTAATTCCTTTAAGTTCACTTTGTCTTAGTCTATTTGGGATGTATATTTGTGTTTTCTGTTGCTTATAACAGAATACCTGAAACTGGGTAATGTTTTAAAAAAAAAGAGAGGTTTATTTCCTACAGTTTTTGAGGCTGAGGAGTCCAAGGTTGAGGGTGTCTTCTTGGTGGGGACTCTGTACAGAGTCATGTGTCAACACAGGGTATCACATGGCAAGGGCTGGTCAAGAGCACATTTCCACATGCTTTCTTCTTCCCCTTGTAAAGCCCCTAGTCTGAACCCCTTAAACCATTCCTGGACTGGCTGGTTAGTTCACTTGGTTAGAGCATGGTGCTGATAACACCAAGGTCAAGGGTTCAGATCCACAAACCAGCCCTCCCTCTTCCTACAAAAGGGCATAGTCCTCATGATCCAATCACCTCTTAAAGGCCCCACTTTTCAAATGCCATAATCAGATTTCCCACCATCTTAACTCTGCCAAATTGGGGATCAAGGTTCTACTTGAGATTTGGAGGGGACAAATATTCAAACCACAGCAGACTGCTATGAAAAAGTACCATAGATTAATTGGCGTTTACAACAGGAATTTATTCTCACAGTTCTGGAGGCTGAGAAGTCCTAGATTAAAGCACCAACAGATTTGGTGTCTGGTGAGGGCCGGCTTCCTGGTTCATAGAGAGCCATCTTTCTGCTGTCTTCACATGAGGGAAGGGTGAGGGATCTCCCTGAGGTGTCTTTTATAAGGGCACTAATCTTATTCATGAGGGCAGAAAATATTCACGAGGGCATCACCTCTCAAAGCTCCCACCTCCAAATACCATCACATTAGTAATTAAGTTTCAACATATGAATTTTGTCAGCACCATGCTCACCCAGTGAGCTAACCGGCCATCCCTATATGGGATCCAAACCCGTGGCCTTGATGTTATCAGCACCACACTCTCCCAAGTGAGCCACAGGCTGGCCCTCAACATATGAATTTTGGGGGGACATAAACATTCAGTCTATTGCACTCTTCAAGGAAGAAGATTCAGGATTTATTCTGGGGAATATCCTTAATTGTGGCTGAAAATGGCTCTACCATCAAGACCAGCTTTCTTTCTCTTTAACTGCCTAAGTGTATTTGATGCTTTTTTCCTCCAGATCTTGGACTTCATCAGGGAACAATCTGAAAAAAATCAGGGTTCCATATCATTTATTTTCTGCCAGAGAAAGAAAGGGGAGGCCTGCCAAGACAAAAATGCAGAACAGGATAGGGGCTGGCTGGTTAGATAAGTTAGAGTGTGGTATTATAGCACCCAAGGTCAAGGGTTTGGACCCCTACACCATCCAGCTGCAAAAAAGAAAAAGAAAAAAGAAAAAAAAAGTAGACTAGGACTATTGTATTTCTCTCTAAAGACAGGATGCTGTCCTGAAGGGAAAGCTTTGGGAGTCCAGAGAAGGTGTGGATTAGGGAGAGAGAGTTTCAAGGAGATATGGTTAGAGCCCATCTCACCATTGAAAACTACAATAGGGCTAGCCCGTGGCTCACTCGGGAGAGTGTGGTGCTGATAACACCAAGGCCACGGGTTCGGATCCCATAGAGGGATGGCTGGTTAGCTCACTGGGTGAGCATAGTGCTGACAACACCAAGTCAAGGGTTAAGATCCCCTTACCGGTCATCTTTTGAAAAAAAAAAAACTATGATAAAATGGTGACTGGTTTATCCCATGCATATCAATCACATGGCTAGGATTATGTCACCCATTACTTTAAAACTCTCAGTAGCTCACTGCCCACAAAATATGGCTGCTATATGGTAGGAATGATACCATGAGCCTTGGTATAAAGAAGTACTAGGTCAGTGACAAATTACAAGTTATAAATAAGTATACGACCAATATTTATATACAATTCAATTTACATTGACTTAGCTGGTAGATATTTTAGCATATAAGAAGAAAGTACAAAGTATACTTGGGGATGGAGATTGAAGCTATAAGCTTTCCTCTACGAAAAGGGGCACAAGGTACCATGGAAGTTTTTAAATTTTGTTTTGATTCTTCAACTCAAGAGAGCAGGAAAAAACAGGCCCCCTTTAGCCATCTTGAGTAAATAAGGTGTCAATAGTAAGAAATCACAGAAGACTATCTCCCACAAAATAAATTAATAAAACATTAAAAAATGAACCAAAAAACTGAAACAAACAAACCACCCCCCAAACTATCTCCCTATTCATTCAATCCTTCTCAAGTGTTCTGGGTCTGGTACTTATAGGCAAAGAATTGTTCATATTCAGGACAGAACTGGGAGTGCAAATCTATGCTTGGAAAAAGTTCTTTGGTTCACCCCCATTTCTCTTGATGTCCTGGTACTCTGAGCTTGAGAATCCTGAGGTCCCCTTATGCTGCACAACAGATGGCCAAGTGACATCAAGGGCCCAGAGGAGTATTTCGGTGCATCAATCACTCTCCTATTTATCATCAATGAAACAGTGAAATTTTAAATAAAAAACACAATACCATTTATATTAGCACCCTGGATTAGTCCATTTCTGTTTCTTATAACAGAAATACCTGAACCTGGGTAATTTACAAGAAAACAAAATTTAACACTTGTGGTTTTAGAGGCTGAGAAGCCAAAAGTCCAGGGTATACATCTGTCAAGGGCCTTCTTTTGTGGTGACTTCAGCAATGCAGTGTATCACATTGCAAGAAAGGCAGAAGCAAAAGAGAGCTAACCTCATTGGCTCTCCTTTTAAAGCCTTCAGAACCATGCCTACGACCACCATTAAATCATCAATAGATTAACCCATTTGCTAGGGCATTGTCCTCACAATCTAATCACCTCTTCAAGGCCCAGCCTTTCAATTACCTTAATAGGATTTCCCACCCTCTTAATGCTGTCATAGTGGGGATTAAGTCTCAATGAACTTTGGGAGGACAAACAATCCACAGCACACCTGAGAAATAAATACTTAGGTGTAAATATACCAAAATATTGTGCAATATCTATGTGAGGAAAACTACAAAATTCTGATGAAAGAAATCAAAGAAGAGCTAAATAAATTGCAAGATATTCCATATTCATGGACAGGAAGACTCAATATTATCAAGATGCCAGTTTTTCCCAATTTGAGCTATAGATTCAGTGTAATCCCAAACAGTGTAATCCCAGCAAGTTATTTTGTAGATGTGGATGAACTGATTCTAAAGTTCATATGAACAGGCAAAAGATCCAGAATAGTCAATACAATATTGAAGGAGAAAAACAAAGTTAGAAGACTAACACTACCCAATTTCAAGACTTACTATAAGGGCTGGCCCGTGGCTCATTTGGGATAACACCAAGGCCACAGGTTTGGATCCCTATATAGGGATGGCCGGTTAGCTCACTTGGGAGAGCGTGGTGCTGACAACACCAAGTCAAGG